GAGTCTGAGACTTTGACAAGTGACGCACTAGGTGTGGGTTTTCCTTGGTAACACTGAGTGGTTTTCTATAGCATTTGTGCCAGTGGCTCAGAGTGCCCATGGTGCCACATCTTGGCAAACACTTGTTCTTGGTTGTTTAATATTTGCCAGTTGGATGGCTATTATATGGTGTCTGAGGGTGGGTTTAGTCTGCATTTCCCTAGTTACAGACAAAATAGTTTCTTCATATATGGGGTCTCTCATGTCAAATACCTATTTGTGTCTTTTTTTCGTTGACTCATGTCATTTCTTTATATATCCTGGATACTAGTCCCTTGTCAATTAAATGTGTACACACTCTTTCTCTAGTTTACATATTCTCTTTTGTAGTTGTATCAAGTAGGTGTTGATGGACTGACACCTTCGCAATGGTGTGACTTCCCATTCACACACATTGTGTCGCTCTCCTTTATTAGGTTTTCTTTAATGTCTCTCAATAAACATTAATAATTTCCCCATAAAAAGACTATGTCTTGTATTAGACTTCTTCATAGTAGTCTTGTATTTTTGATGCTGTGATATATTGAATTTTTAAAATTATTGCAGATTATAGAAATATTGTTGCTAGATGCTGATTTTAGATCCAGTAACATGCTAACCTTTTATTAGTTCTAGGGACATTTATCTAGATTCTGAGGGTTTTTACATGTCATCTGCCATAATGGCAGTTTTTTCTTTTCTGATCCTCACTCCTTTAAAACTTTTCTTCTTACGTTTGGCACTGGTTAGGACCTGTGTGCAATGTTAAGAACAGACAGCAAACATCGGTCCTAACTCCAACCTAAAGGAAATGTTCACAGCTGAAAATGTTTTTCATGCAAGGCTAAGATATTCTTGTGGGTGTTCAATTTTATTGAATACTTTTTTCTTAATTTTTGTGATTTTTTTCTCCTTTAATGTTAATACATAAGATATGGTAGTTGATTTTGAAATATTAAACCAACTTTTAATTCCTAGCATAAACCCAACTTGGCCATGGTATGTTTTGATTCATTGTTGAACTCATTTTTCACACACACGTATGTATTTTTTTTCATTTTTCTTTTATTATTACACGTATGTATTTTTGAGATAGGGTCTCACTCTGTACCCCAGGCTGGCCTCAAACTTGCAGTTCTGCCTCGGCCTCCCGAGTGCTGGGATTTCAGGCCTGTGCCTCCACACTTGGCTTGCCAATACTCTATTTAGGATTTTTGCTCCTGTGTTCATGAGTGAAGTCACTCCATCCTACTCTTCATGTCTTATAATTGTCTGGTTCTGGAACTAAGGTTGTAATAGTCTCATGAAGTAGGTTTTCTATTTTCCAGAGTACAGAGCTGCAACTAGTCTTATTTAAAAGGGAGATTTTAAATTATTCAATTTCTTTAAAATTTGTGGGGTTGTTAGGGTTTTATATTATTCTTGAGTCAGCTGTTTTTTCATATTTTTTCTAGATTTATCTGTGTCATTTTAAAGATTCTGATAGGAGACTGTCCGTATTGTTTGTCCCCACGTCTGCACTTAAAACCCTCTTTCATTACATAAGTTCACTTGTTCCCTAGCACTCTTTCTTGATTAACCCTTCAAGGCTTGAATGTTTAACCCATATATATATATTTAAATATATTTCCAAGCTTCAGGGACTGGCTTTCAGCTGTCTTAATTTGTATTTCTAATATCAATGTGATCTGCAGGATTTGATTTTCTGACTAGCTTTGTGACCTAGCCTGTGGTCAGTTTCACACATGTCCCCCGGTGTCCCACTCTGCCCTCCCCAGGAGTTGCAATGTACTGTGTTTGGATGAGGTCAGGCTGTTAACTATGCAGATTATTTACTGTTCACTTTGTATCAGAGTTCCAGTTTACTGAAACCTCAAGGTCTAATTATGATAATGAACTTTTCAACTTCTCTCAGTATTTGTTTGCTTTTTCTTTTGGCTTTATTACTGGATGCACACAATTACGTATTAATTTAGAATTAGATTATTCTATCTTCTGTGGTGAGCAGAATCTTTTATAATTATTCAGTGAGTCTAGGAATGTTGATGTTTTTTTTTTTCTTACATAGCAGTGTTTTGGTTAGTCTTTGTCTGGTATATCTCAGATCTTTCTTTGACCTTTTATCTTGATTTATAGGAGATATACCTAAAAGATGAAGCCAAGGCAAGTGCTGGGTGGCTCACACCTACAGTCCTAGTTACTTGAGAGGCTGAGATCAGGACGACTACAATTCCAGGCCAGCCCAGGCAAAAAAAGGTTGGGAAACCCTATCTCAACAGAAGAAAGCTGGGTGTGGTGACATACTCTGTCATCCCAGCTATGGCAGAAAGCATAAATGGGGAGGATCACAGTCCAGGCTGGACTGGGCAAAAAATGAGACCCTATCAGAAATAACCAGAGAAAAGGCAGGGCTGGAGGTTATGACTCAAGTGGTATAATACCTGCCTAGCAAGCACAATGCCCAACCTCCCAAAAGATAAAGCCAAAGAAAAATTGTTTCTGAGTAATTTAATATGTTTAGATTTGTTGAGATGACCAATGTAGTGGGATTTATTTCTAGATCTTCATCAGTAATCATGTCCTATTTATTGTACTGGTTTTTGATCTACTCCTCCCTTGTCTTTTCTTTTTTCACCCTCTTACTTTTTTTTCTTTCAAGTTCTGTTTGGTTTACAAATCTCCTCGTTTTCCTTGTTCTTTTTTCATGTTTCTGCTTCTTTAAGTAAGCATCCTTAGTTTTTCCTGTTAATACTAATATTGAGTCTTTGTGGATGATCCTAATGTCTACTATTGATTTCGTACCACTGTCCATTAAGTATATCTTAATTTTCCTTTGTAAGTCAGAATGGTTTGAAGCATAGACTGAAATTGAGATTTTTTTTTTTTAGTGGTACTGGTGTTTGAACTCAGGGACTCACGTCTGCTAGGCAAGTCCTCTATCACTTTGGCCACTGTGCCAGCCCTTTTTTGTTGTTTTTGAGATAGGGTCTCATGAACTATTTGCCCGGCTGGCCTCAAACCTCGACCCTCCAGAGTAGATAGGATGACAGGCGTGAGCCACCAGTGCCCTGGGAAATTGAGGTTCTTGAGAGTTTACTGGCTGTGCCAGACCCCTGGAGGCCATCAACCCAGTACACCTTTAAGTCATCACTTTGGGGGTCTGTAACCCTGAGGAATGGCCTGTGGTTGTGAACTTTGGGAAGGAGCCATTTATGCCCTCCACCCCACACCAAAACCAAACAGTTAAGTTCCTTGCTGTGCACTCAGGGCACAGTGGCCCTGAGTCTCCCCTAGTTAAGCCATACACATCCCACCCACTGCCACAGACACAGCTACTAGGCAGGTCAGGTCTCCTGGGTTGAAGAGACCTCTCAGGGCAAAGTAAGCCTACCTTACAGGTTTCATGATTTCAATTCAGTTTTGGAATTCTGCAAATTCCTTGCTTTTAGGTATTATCTTACTTTATATTATTTTATATTACTTCTTCTGTTATCCAGAATGTTTGGGGTTTTGTCAGTAGTTTGAACTTGGCCTCAGGCTTGCAAAGCAGGCACTCGTCGCCTTGAGCCACGCCTCCAGCCCTTTTTGCCCTGGTTATTTTGGACATGGGGTCTCCCTCACTTTTTGCCCAGGCCCGACTGGACGCAATCCCCATTACTTTATGCTTCTCACCATTGCTGGGATGACAGGCATGTGCTACCATGCCCAGCTATTGGTTGAGAATGGAGTCTCAAACTTTTTGCTAGGGCTGGCCTGGAACTGTGATCCTTCTGATTTCAGCCTCCAAAGTAGCTGGGATTACAGGTGTAAGCCACCAGTGCCCAGCAAGAAACCTTTTTTTTTTTTTTTAAAAGATATACTTTTCCTCCAAAGTAAAGAATGACTCTGCTGTTTCCTTAAGTGGCCCAAATATTACTCCTTCAAATCTGTGTCTTTTGGATGATTGCTTTGTTCTCTAAAGAGGACCTGGATATTTACTTTTTAGCCAGTATCTAATGTTGCCAAGGCTGTAATCGAACTTCTAGGCTCAAGCAATCCTCCTGCCTCAGCCTACTAACTCGCTGGGGCCACAGACTTGTGCCACCACACCTAGCTGGATTTGTGTCTTATCAGTTTAATTTCGGGAATTGTAAATGCATGAAAAGGCCTGTTTGACATACTGGTCCTGGATGAAAGGCAGGACTGTCTTGTTTTGAACCAACTACCCAGTATCCTAGGTTTAGAAATATTTTTCATTTAGATGAACTCTAAAATTAAGCCCTGGTGAAGAGATGCAAAAGAAATGACACAAACATGCTACTGCTTGGTCTTAAAGACGATCAGGAAGACTTAAATTATACCTGAAGGAGAAGTCATGCCGTAGTATCCTAATTTTGTAATTTTAGTGAAGGATCAAGGACCTGTTAACATGTAACGCGTACTCTTAAGACAATTACATGGCCATTATGTTTCTAGAGCTAGTGCCAGCACATATTTTACTGACTTGACTCTGATTTGGCACACCTGTTGGCATTAGCTTGGGCCAATGAGTTAACAATACATTGCCTTGCACAAGAATCTACTTGCTGTGCAGTGCAAAAGGAAGCAGTCCTAGGAGTAAGGACAGAAAAAGCCATAGCTATACTATTAGCATGAGGCAAACTTTCCTCTTTAAAAGCAATGGCCAGAACCTACAGAATGCATCCATTCCAGTGCCATCTGTGGCCCATGATTTGAAGGGATTCTGCCGTATTGTTTCACAAATCCCTAAAACCAGGTACAAAAGAAATCATCTTGAAAGAACTATGTGTGGGGCCACATCAACCTGTATGTGGGCTATACCTACTCAGTTTTGCCCAACGTCACTTAATTTTGAATGACTCAAAGTGTATTTTGTGACATAATGCAAAAAATAGTCTTGCTAATAAAATAACTTTTTATCAAAGATATATATGTACTTAAAATCTTGTATTGCAAGATTTCATTCTTGGCAAATGGTAGAAACTTGTTTTTCACACCTAATTGCTACTGCTCTAGGAACCCTTTTAGGTGCATCCTCTTAACATTAACTATGCTCAATTAGAATTATTAAAAGTAACTAAGATTCCCTTAGCCCACTAAAGGAAAACAGGCAATAAAGCATGTTTTCAAAAAAGGGAAAACGCCGCAAAGATTTTCCCCTGGAGGAGAAAAAGAGATACAAATAGCTTCAACACCATCATACCAAAGCATGATACCAGGAAGGTAGCATTTTTAAAAACAATCCTCTCGGGACTAAAGCATCTTCATTACAATGAGGTAGAGAGGGGACAGACAGAAGCTACTGAGCTCGTCCCTTCTTCCACCTATGACTTAATCACTGAAACCCATTTCTCATAGAACTCAAAAAAGCAGCATTTATGAAACTAAAAAGCAACTTTAGGTTAAAACAGGGGCTTAAGTACCTAACAGGTCCCCGGGGAGAAAAACGTGACAGTGAAAGGGAACACAGGGCCATGTGCGCAGCCCACACTAACCGCACCAGCGTGAAGGACAGTGCATACCTGACACGTACACACTACCACTTCTCTTTCTCGTGTGTTGAAGACCACACAACCCCAAGTGGACCCTATTTTGACCTAGAGTTTTAGTTACTACCAGCAGTTTATTAAGTTTAAACTTTTGTTTTGGTATAGACTGATTTAAATTTTAAAATTATCACTCTTGATTCTCCATGCAAACATAATTCAATCTTTTTAACAAGTTTTAGAGCTTAAATCTGAAACCAAAGACCAAGTGCTTTTGTCAGTTGCACAGTGACATAGTACCTGGATCAAACAGAAGGTATTTCAGAAACACACCCATATGCAAAATATCCAAAGCCTTAACATTTTGCATATCTCGTAACCCAGCATTTCTATTTCTAAGAATTTATTTTAAGACAAGTCATGGATGTACACAAGATTCAGTGAATTGCTGTTTATAATTGTGAAAGATGTAAATAGTCAAAATGTCCAGTAGATGATTAAATAAATTATGATTCAGTCATATAACAGAATAAAAAAACCAATAAAAATGATGGAGAAGATTATGTATGACCTGGGAACGACATTCACAATACATTGTTAAGTGAAAAACGCAGGTTACAAACAGTATGCACAATATGAGCCCATTTTTATAAAAATATACATATTTAGCAAAGTAAAAGGACAAATGATATTTATCAAAATATTAACATTGGTTATTTCAACACAGTAGGGTGACTATTGATTCTGCTTAACCACCCTGTCCCTTTTTTTTTTCTATGTGCATTTTCTGTAATAAAGATTTTTGAAAATGGGGGTAGGAGGAAAGGGGAGTAACCTCAGAAGAGCCCACGTCCACTCCCAAAGCTCCTTCTGGTAAAGTAAATGTTTCTGCTCAGCCTGTCTCTGGAAGATCGCTTCTACCTTACACAGTTGAGTGTCCTTCACATATGACATTCACTCAAACTTCCTTCTAGGCAAACTACACAATAGCCATTTCTGGTAGTAAATTAAAAAAAGGAAAGAAAAAAAAAACTTCAGGTTAATTATCACCAAAAAGAATAGATGAGAAAATACAAATTCTCACTTTAAAAAAGGAACAATCCAAGTACATACTACTAAAATTATACAAAGTTACATTATCTAGGGTTTGTTTATTGCAAAGATCAAAACAGCATACTAGAAGGGGGCTTGTTTCCCAAGCTCACAGCACTCACTCTCTTCTCCAGTCTGTTCACTCACTCATGCAAGTCTGTACACACAATGATTCCAACGTTTCTTGGTTCCCACAGTATAACAGGAAACCAGACATTTCAGTTAAAAAAGCAAAATGAGGACATTTACCGTCAGGCTATAGAATACCTCTTCTGGAAGAGGGTGCTGCAGTACTTTAAGATGTGTTTTGAAAAAAATCAAATACCAAGCTACAGGAACACTTCAGGAGAGCTAGGACTACATTAAACCGAAATGAATTCCAACACTCATAGTAACAAACTAAAAAGAAAATCTAGTGTTAACGAAAGTATCAGTAACTAAAACTACGTTAACAGGCACAATGAACAGTGTAAACACTGTTAATGGGCACCGAGTTTTATAGGGCAACAATATTTGCTTCCGCATTCACACTTCATTATTCAATTACATTTTCTTAAAAAATGGTGCTGCTTAAGCTATGAATGTTTTGCCAAAAAAAGTAATTTCAATAAATACGGCAAAGGCTAAAGATCCAGCTAGGTTATCATGCAAGAAATTATAGAGCCAAGACAAACTCAAATTTATAATAAAGGCAACCTGCATTCAGAATGAACTCTACCCTTATACTTTATTAAAAGGGCAAACATCATGAATTAACCAAGCTGCTTACTTGAATTACAAAAGTAACATGATTCAATATGAAAATAAGAAACTGTCTACAAATCTCTGACAGTAATAAATTGCAATATACAATGCATACAGGCGTCATACAGAGCAACAAACTCTCGTACAAAACAAAAATATTTTAATACCTTTAAAATCCAAAATTTTCTTTAAAATCATTCATGAAAAAGATTCTCAAGTCAAAATTAACACCTCAATTAGTCAAGCATCAGGAAGCTACATTACAGCTACTTAGTGTACAAAGAGACATCTTCACCAGTCATTTCCTTCTAATGTCTCTGTTCCAAAATTGTACAGACTCTTGCTTCTCTATACTCCCGTTCCATCATTTCTTCAGATCATGAAAACTGAATTTGTTGAACACCAGAAATCTAAGATTTGAAAATTTAAATCATGTAATTAAAAGTTTAAAAGTAACATGTGCATACTACAAACATTCACTGAACAGGGCTGGAGATGTGGCCTAAGTGGAAGAATACTTGCCTAGCAAGAACAAGGACAGTTCAAACCCCAACAGGGTCAAAAAAAAAAAAAAAAAAAAAAAAGTCTACTTCCACCCCAGCTCTTCACTCTCCATTCCCTCTACCCAGTGGAACTACTTCAATAAGTTCTTAGATATCTTCCTAGAAATCAATGCCAATGTAAATACGTGTAAATATATACATGCGTGTATGTATATACACACACACCCTTAAGGAATTCAATACACTTATATGTATTTTGATAAAATAATTTTTTATAACCTTAATCTTATCAGGTCCTTAATAGCAATGTATTGAAATTACTCATTAAAAAATCATCAAATATAATCAATTTTCCAACTGTTTAAATATAAAGATGGTACAATACCTGTTGGTAGGAAGTTGTGTAAACCATAACATTCTGTTGTTGACCATCTGCAGTTATTAAGCCAGCTGGTAATTGGTTAGCTAAAAGACAGAAAGAAAAAGTTAGAGAAAATAACTGCCTTTACTTTCTTGGCCTGAACCTTAAAGTTTAAATGTAATTCGTGTTTCCTTCACTTCTGCCACTTACCAATGATAAGATTTTGGTAAAAGCATAAACCCTCAAGCTTTCTATTCAAAAAAATTCCCTAAAAGGCACATTTTCCTGTTGCGTTCCTCAGTTTTCTGAATGTGCACGTCTCTACAGAATACCTACTGCCCACGTTTAGACGTATGCACAAGGACTGGGTTGCCGGTTCATGGCTAGACCTAAACCACAGCATGAGGTGAGGCTGGGAGCTACATTGCACGCTAAGCTGATGAGAGACCTAAGAACGTAAGTGTACGTAATACGTAAATAGAAAACATAAATATACATTTTTAACGTGACAAGTGCCACAAACATTTATTGTGTTATATATTACTCTCAATTTAAAAGAGCATCCTTGAGAGCCCAAATTTATTTAAATCATTTAATTTTATATTATAAAGTACACTTCTCAATATTCCTATCTCATGTGAATGTTCACCAAAAAACAGGCTATGAAAAAAGTCACCAGTGAGAGGCCACGACACTTCTACACTCACTAACTTCAACTAAGGATGAACTAGCAAGAATCGTTCAGAACCGCGCAAGCTAAATTCCCAGTGCCTATGTTCCTAAACATGACTGCAGCCATGTAGCAGGATCACTGCTTACTGAATGCCTCCTCCGTGAGCTCTTCACTTAGTCCGTCCGTAGCTGTGACTGCTCCGCCAATCCCCTTCTCGCCTTTCATAGCCTAGGGAAGGAAGCACCACAAACTCTTTGGAAAAGTGAAACTCTTCCAAATGGGAAGGTTTGCTTTTCACTGTCTAAAATTAGGTGTTTCTAGGATTACAAATGTTTAAACAAAGTATTAGTAACACTTCTGCTTAATTACATATAAAGAAGCCCTTCAAAATGCTTTTTATAGCATAACAAGAAAATGTATTAGTAATGACCTAGAAAATCAGAAGTATTTATGGATAAAAATAAATCATTTTAATTCCACACATCAAAGGGTTAATAGAATTCTACCTACGAGATATGTAAAATTCATAGCTCGTAAGTCTACAGATGATCCAAGTTATAGCGCACACACACACATACTTCTCAGTCAACTGAGAAGTACTGGGAAGCAGCAAGTTTAAGTTTAAAATTCTTAAAATTTAGACCAAAGACCTCTAAAGTTGCATCTATTCTAAGGTTGTATAATACTGAAGATTTGGAATAGTATTGTGAAGAATTTATACTTTCTCTTCCTCCTTTAATGGTTCTGTTCAGGTACCACTAATTTAATGGTACTCTGACACTAAAGTTATTAAGAATATATTTTGAAAGCAGTGTGAATCTGACACCCACCTTTAAGTATGGAAATAAATAAGCTGTGACCTCAATTTATTTTTGCAAAATTATAGCACTAGGCAAAGATAACCTAATAGGAAGTATAAAAGAATTTGGTCCCCCAAAAGAGAAAGACCATTATAAACTTTCTTATTGTCTAAGTTATCGAAACAGCCTCAAGCTAAGCGATGCTGCCTCTTTCAAGTTAACAACAGTAACAGCAAGTAGTCTTAGTGAGCACTGAATATTGTTGACTTACTCCTTTCAACAATTCTCTGGAGGAGCTATAAACCTCACTTTACAGATGAGGAAACCAAGACCTAACACACTCAAATGCTGCACCCAAGATCAGAATTCACAAGTAGCCTCCAGGTGCAAGAATCCAGAATCCCTCTGATCACTATGTAACTAAGCAATAAACTGAAGAGAAAAGGACGGGCCTGCTGTTTAAGAGAGGAGGGGTTTTTGTTTGTTCCTTTTACTTTCTCACAGTGCTGGGGATGATCCCAGAGCCTGCAAGACAAGTGCTCTACAGCTGCTGATTTAAGTACTGAAATTTAGGAAGTTAAATACTTAGGAGAAATGGTACATCATCTGCTACCAAATAAAAAGTGTTAAGGTGAATAGCGCATCCTGTGTTCTTAAAAGCAGGAAGTTCTGGGACGTCTGACTTACTTCTCTAAATTTCTGAAGGTACAGTTTCAGAGGTTCCACATAACTGTCGAAGCCTAAAGTGGACATGGCAAAGAGAATGTCCTCCCCATTGATTGTCTTCCGCTTCTCTTGATGGCATCTCTCACTTGCTTCAGATGTTATAAAGCTTATGAACTCACTTACACATTCTTGGACACACTCTTTGGCATCTTTTGCAATCTGAAGAAAAATCACAGGTAAATTTGCAGGAAATATAACTAACACCTGAAAAATAAGACTATTCATCCTTCAGCCATGAAAAGTAACCTTTAATCTCTTAAATATATTCTAATAATATTAACAGAATGTGTGCTGTCACAATTCTGACCCTCAGAATCACAATAACACCTCAAACACAGTGAGGAGTTTTGACAACTATTCACAGAAAAAATACTGTAAATATACTTGAGCCACTGGACGTCCGTCCTGACCACCCTATGCTCCGGGAAAACCGAGCCCAGTTTGTCTCTACACTAAGTACACCAGGCTACGGACTTTGCTGCCTTAGCATTTCCACAAATAAGGACACTGCAAAATAAACACCAGCCCCCCCGAAACTCAAAAACTGAACTTACCTAAGATTAGAAACAAGTGAAAAATGACACCTGATGACTTTTTTCTATTGATGATACAAGATGTTAAATAAAGATTTGAGTTTATTAAAAAACTTGCCTAAAGAATCACACACATGCTGGTGGAGTCGCTTAAGTGGTAAGAGCACCTGCCTGGCAAGCATGAGGCCCTGAGTTCAAATCCCAGTGCCGCAAAAAAAACAAAAAAAGTCACACACCTAACAAAGTCATCACAAAAACAATTCTTCCCTGAGGGATCTGGGGTCTGAAAGTGCAAGTCTAATGAATCAGTCACACAATTCCAGAACCACTTATAACAGGAATGACAAACTCCTTGCTAAAACACACTGTCGTTCACCTCCATGCCTATTCTACATACTAGAGTAATTTTTTTTTTGGAGTCATTTTAAAAAAATTAAAAAATAGAGCTGGGGGTGTAGCTTAACTGGTGGAGCGCCTACCTAAAAAGCACAAGCCTCTGAGTCCAAACCCCAGTACTGCTGAAAGAAGAAAAAATTAAGTGAAATTAAGTATATTTTATTTAACCCAATATATTCAAATTACTATCAACGGAACATGGAATCAATTTAAAATGATTATTTTCACTCTTTCCTTTGAGTATTCAAAATCAGGTGCACTTTTATGTTTACAGCACATCTCAGTTTGAACCAGCCACGTTCAACTAACTGCTCAGTAACCACACAGGGCTAGCAGCTTTAGACTGGATTGTGCAACCCTAATCTAGTTGAGCAATGGTCAACAGCTGCACATTTTTTTCCCTGAAACGTAAGGAGGACCTTTCTCAGATTGGAACTTAAAGGCTTAAGTGATTTGTTTTAATAGTACACTTATTACTTTCACAAAAACAAAAAGATTTACTATGCAATATAAAGCAACATATAAAGTGTGAATTTTAATTCAGACCAAGTGATGAGTGATGAGCTTTGTTTGTTTTTGTTTTTCTTCTTTTAATGGGATTTTGAACTTAGGTACTTTCTTGAGCTTTTTAAGCAGGCACTCTACCACTTGAGCACATTTCTTCTACCTACAGCCTCCTGAGTAGCTGGGATTATAGTCATGAACCATTATGCCTGGCAAGAAGTTAAACTGTTCTAAAAAGACAAAACTACTTAAAAAAAAAATACCATTTGAAATGTATAAAATCTACAATTGTATAAAAATAGCTATTTCCAAATACCAATTGCCACACACCCTAGCCCAGGATTTTTTTTTTTTTTTTAAATCTTACTATACCTATATCAGTCCTATCTAATTTTGCTGAAATAAAATTAAGACATAAATTACAACTTCATATGTCCAAATCTGATAGGTCTGACAACGTACCTATTTTTTAAATTCTCAATTTTTTTTTGGGTGGGGGTGCTGTTTAGAATTTAAACTCAGGGCCTTGCACTTGCTAGGCAGGCACTCTATCACTTGAGCCACTCTCCAGTCCCTAAGATTCTTAATTCTATTTTATCTGCTTCCAATGAGTGGAGGGGCAGCACCCAGGTACATTACAGAAATGAAAGTGGAACACAGCTCAGTAACTAAGTAGTGAGAAATACGTATTTGATTTGCTAAAAGGCTGAGTGACTAAAATCAATAGCTAACTACTGATTCAAACATGTATTTGCATAGTTTTACATTTCTCAGAAAAACCTAGTCCAGTTTTTCCTTTGTGTTACCTTTCCTGTTTGAGGGATAGCATTTTTCATTATCCTAGCCACATTTGCAATTGGAAGGTATATATCTTGTTCTCTGAAGCTTTCTTTTGAACCATTTGTATCTTCATGATCATTCATGCTGTCCTCAGTATCTAGAGAAATAAAACAATTTATTTTTTTAAGTTTCAAGAGTCTCAGCATTCTCACTTCAAGACAGAAAAGATGGTCAGAAATTATTTAGAGTAAGTACCGTTCTGACAGATTTCCTACTGTTTTTTAGGGACTAAGCTAGCAGTTCTTATCATCTCCTCAGGTCTAGAAATGACCTATTCATTGCTTTCAAACCCACTGCCTACAATTCTTTTGTCCTCACCCACCACCCACTAAAATTCTACCTACCCATTCTTCAAAAAGCTCAAGTAACATTTTGACAGCACCTTCAAAAGTGACCTTTCCTTTCATAAAATACCACAATTGCTTCTCTGTGGCTTTTCTCTAACATACTTTGTAATTCCTTTTACTTCTCATTTCCCCTACGAAGATTTTTGGTTCTTGATGCCAGATTTTCAAAGAACTGTGACACGGAGATTGTTAATTGTCTTGTACAGACAAAAATAACCTAGACCATCAGTCACATTAATAAAACGTCCTTTCTAACTTGCCCTGAATTTGCATCTGGCTCTAGTCATGGCTTTCTTACCGTCGTGAGGCTGTATGACATAGTGGCTCCCTCCGATGTAGTCTGCAGAAATCCCTAACTGAGAAGCATCTGTTGTGGAACTGTCACCATCCATCTAGGAGGAAAGAAAGCCCGTCAGTGCTCCTCACGTAAAGTACTAAAAACAACAGGTTCAGAGCACAGAAACTCTCTTAGAATGGGCTAATTGCTTTTTTTCATAGTTTTAAGCTTACTAAGAGAAAACATTTTTATTTCTTGACTTGGAAACATTTTAATAATTTGCCAACCATTCAAGATACCCCTACCAATATTCCACAAGTGATAAGCGTAAGGGCAACAGGGAAAAAACAAGGAAATATTGTAAAGCATATTCCTCTTTCTTTTCAACTACATAATCAACATGACTTACAACCTCACTTATCCTCCAAATGCCGATCAAAGTCAAATTGGTTTACTAGTTAACTGGGTGTCACCCACACTCCACTTTCAGCTTTCCTGCTAGAGTCTAATGTACCCTTTTGCTCCTGCTACAAACGAAGATCCAAAACAGATCTTGTTTGCTTGGGTAAGAAGCCTATGGAGTCCCTGAAGTTCTATACTCATGTCACCAGAAATATACCACCTTTTTTTTTTTTTTTGTTAAAGATAGGGTCTATGTTGCCCAAGCTGGCCTCAATCAAACTCACCATCCTCCTGCCTCAGCTTCCTGAGTGCTAGGATTACAGGTATGTGTCACCACTCAGGCTTTATACCCACATTGTAAATAAGCCTGTCACCTTTAATTTTGGTCAAAGGTTCATTTTTTCTTCCCCAAGTCCCTTAAACTTTCTGATTCTTTAAAGAAAAAAAGAAAAGCAAGCATCTGGGAGACCTGCACATAAAGATGGCCTACAACCACAGACAAGAAGGAGAGTTACCATGACTGTTTTAAAGCAAGTTTCCTTAATTAATTGTGCTTAGAGCTAAAAGAATTCCAAGAGGAAAATCTGGAAAAAAAGTGAGTCATAAGCCCTGAACTGACTCCATTCCATCCCACCACCAGCAGACCCCGGAAGGCTTTCTGCCTTGCAAATACTGCTATTCAAAACAATAAAGGGCTAGCTTCTTTTGAGTGGAAAAGTTGAAAGTGCATTACCTGGACAAAAAATATAGCAGGGATGAAGTGTGCACATGCTTAGGCCAAAGAAAGAACAGATATCTGATCTTGAATGTTTACCAAGACCCCAGGACCAGCACAAAGTTAATGTTATTAATTGCAATATTTCAGTCTTTGTGTAATACATGTCTCTTCCATCTCTGGTGTTTTTTTTTTTTTGTGGTTCTGAGGTTTGAACTCAGAGCTTATACCTTGAGCCACTCCACCAGCTCTTTTTTTGTATTAGGTTTTTCGAGATAAGGTCTCTCAAACTATTTGCCCAGGCTGGCATCAAACCTCGATCCTCCTTAAGCTAGGATTACAGGCATGAGCCACTGGTGCCCGACTCTGGTGGATTTTTTTATCTGATACTAAAGTACTAGGCTAATTTCTAAGTCTTCAATTACATGGCATTTTTTTCATGCATCTGTTGACTTGGATGTCTCATTTAACTATACATATAAATACATTTCTGTCATTTATATTGTTCTTTTAGGAGGAAGAAAAATAAGGAATCACATGCCTTTAACAATCTGTGAAAGCACAGGGTACCTGTTTATCCACTCACTTTTTAGTACCCTCAAAGAGATATACAGTTAGTGAGCTGACTCTGACTCTCCTACTGACTTCCTGAAAACAAGCACCCTTATATCTATATAAAATGGAAATAACACTCCCCTTCTCAAACTAATATAAATAAACATGAATCACTCCCCAAATATAAAATGCTACATTGATCATAAAATGCTGAAAAGACACTAAGAGAGTAGCCTTTCCTGCACACAGTGACAGATGTATTAGCCACGAAGGAGCTGAGCCCATGAGTTTTTACAATGATCTAAGGACGATCAAGATGCAAGAAATGGGCCAGGGGCCAGTAGCTCACACCTGTAATCCTAGTTACTAAAGAGACAGCGATCAGGAGGATCCCAGTTCAAAACTAGCCTGGGCAAATAGTTCAGAGACCCTATCTTGAAAAAAAAACATCACACAAAAGGGCTGGTGAAATTGCTCAAGATGCAACCCTAAGTTCAAGACCCCAGTACTGAAAAAAAAAAAAAAAAAAATCCAAGAAATATGACCAAAGTGTTGTTCAGAACCTACAACTGGAAACAAATCTTTTTTGGGGGATGGGGATCTAATAACAGAAATTCCTTGTTAAATGAATATCCACAGAATATCATTCTTTTAAAATTAGCTAATGAATAAAAAAACTGGGCAATAACCAGGTAGATCTGGGAGGTCCTTATCTTGTCATACACTAGAATTATTGGCAGGATTATCACTTGGTTCATAGCATTAGCCTCTCTAAACCTTAGTCTTCTAAACATGAAGATAAAAGCTATTTCATGGAGCTGTCAGAATTAAATGCCTAGAAAGCTGCTAAGACAGTGCTTGGCATGCAGTATGCTCCACAGACATTGGCTCTTTTCCTTCTCCTTTGAAGAGAAGTTGCATATTTTCTGCTTAATTCTGTGTCTTTGCTTCTGCAAGTTTTAGCTTTTCTGCCACTTCACACCTTCTGTTCCTTTCCTCTTTCTACCATCAAAATCCCACCTTGGACTTTAATCCCTATGTTCCCAAATCCCTTTTACAATCCAAAAGCTAATGCTGACTTCTTTGATGCTCCATGGTAATAGCACTATTCATTCAACAAATTCACCCAAAACTTTGATTCATACACTATGTTAGCCACCCTCCTATACATAAGGGATGGTGGGAAAAACTTGTTAGATACATTCCAAAGGGGTGTTTTCCTAGGTCTAAATGTCTTACAAAAATTTATAAAACAAGCCAGGCACTGGTGGCTCATGCCTGTAATCCTAGCTACTCAGGAGGCAGAGATCAGCCAGGGCAAATAGTTCAAGAGACCCTATCTGGAAAAATACCCCACCAAAAAATAGCTGATCAAGTGGTTCAAGTGGTAGAACACCTGCCCCACAATCATGAGGCCCTGAATTCAAACCACAGTACTGCCAAAATGTATAAAACAGAATGTAGATCGTAAGTCAACCAACATGCAGTTTACTAAGTGCGCACATAGTATTTATCAGGTCCGTGCTATGTGTGCTCTACGACCCAGATAAGCAGTCAACAACACAGATAAGATCTCTGTCATCATCCTGCAGAGAAAACAAATGTTACATAACTCAGAGGGACAGAGTGAAGGGCAGAGAGCAGAGTCTATTGGTACTTTCAGGACACAGGCTCTGAAATCAAGTCACCTAGTTTGAATTCTCTGCTACTTTTTGGCCATGAAACCTTGAGCAAGTTGGATGAAAGAGGACTTAACCTCACAAGTCTCCTGTATGGGTCAAGAAATAATTTAAGCAAATATTCAATGTTATAGATAGCTATTAAATAATTGCAAATAATTAACTAATTGATAGTGCCAAGTGCTAAGAAAAACAAAGAAGTTTTGCTACATTCTGTGGGTGCTTATTCCAAAAGGGCCTCGCCAGTCTGAGGGGTCAAGAAATGTTTATATTAAGAAATGGCATTTAAACTGAGACTGAAAGAGGAATACAATTTATTCAGGATAAAAATTTTAAAAAGAAAAGAAAAAAAAAAGTGGGCTGGGCTGTCAGAGTGGCTCAAGTGGTAGAGTGCCTGCCTAGCAAGCACGAGGCCCTAAGTATAAACCCTAGTGCCAAAAAAAAAAGTGGGAGAATAATGTTCCAGATAGAGGAAACAGTACAGGAATATGGAATATAGTGCTGAGGGACTGAACCAAGGCTAAGCAGTGCCTTGTGGACAAGAGCAAATCAAAGAGGAATTTAGGCACAAGGGTGCAAATCAGGTTTCTTTAAAAGAGTATTCTGGGCAATACAGAAAATCCATCCAGTGCAGACAATGACCTGGAGGGGAACAAAAACAGAAGACTAGCAAGGACTAGAATGCTGCTGTTAGGGCATGAATACAGACAAGGTTAGATCACCCCAATATCTGTGTCAGGGCCAACACCCTGGACATCAAGAGAACCAGGGCAAGCTGGGCACTAGTGCTTCACACCTGTAATCCTAGCCATTCAGGAAGCAGAGATCAGGAGGACTGTGATTCAAAGTCAGCCTGGGGAAGTATCTCAAAAATACCCAACACAAAAGAGGGCTGCCAAAGTGCCTCAAGTACAGAGCGCCTACCAAGCAAGAGCAAGCGTGAGGCCCTGAGTTCAAACCCTAGTGCCACCAAAAGAGAAAAAAAAAAAAGAACCAGGGCACCTAGGTTAGACCAACAGGATCTGGTGGCTGGCTAACAGCTTGAGCAAGGATAAAGATTCTCCCAGCTGGGAAGACAGATGGCATCACTGCAGACAATAGGACAGGAAAGGATCACAATGCTGGGCAGCACAGGCCCTATAAGGCATACATCAGTGACTGAATTTACAAAGGTACTGCTATGTCCAGTTGTAACACTTATAGGCCAGGTTTAAGAACAGAGAAGCTGTTTTATTTCATACAGGTAACAAAAGGAAAAGAGCAGGTAGGATAATAACAAGAGTATAGGTAAAATTATGAATCGTATCCAAGGGAACTGATAGATATGGGCAAAGAGTAGGTAAATCTCATTAAATTAATTTCCACGACTAGACTATTTAGTTGAACTGGTGATACTGTTTTCTAAAATATTATGTGAAAGAAATGGTCAGCTGGCTAGTGTTACGCTGTTTTTTTGGGTAGCAGTCTATAAACTATGCATATAATTTGTGGGTCAAGTACAGTAAATACTGCTAACTTTGACATGCTGACTCACTGAACACTTTATCTAAACATCTCATGCAATGTTCATGGCCCTGGGCAGCAGGTAAAAAACTGGGGTATACGAAGCCAATGATCTGCCCGAGCTGAAATCTAGAGCCTCTAATGGAAAGGACTTTACCAAATGCATTCCTGGTCATTTTCCTGTAGTCCTTCAGCCAAATCTTTAATTTGCCCCCTCTAAATTCTACTGAAAGCATTTCAAGTCTCTTCTCAAACAAGGACATTTCAAGTCTCTTCTCAAACAAGGACACTATTTGTAAAGTGTTTAAGAAACACACTCTGGACTACAGTGGGGAGTGCTGGCTCTTAGGAAAGCTTGCCTGGGTTTGAAACATGGCTCCCCATTTACTAGCTCTATCTATGAACGAGTTACAGCTTTTGTGTGTCAGCTTCCCCATTTTGAAATTTTGAAAATGATGTTACTATGAGAAGTTATTGTATAAAAAGCACTTAGCAAAGTGCACAATACATAGTAAGAACTCAGCAAACATAACCTAGTGTAATTATTGTCTCTTCAAATCAAATACAGGTCTTTTTTCCCCCCCCTCTAACATAACTTACCCTTTTGTGGTATCTGGATCACATTCCTTTGATCTCTTTTGAGGTTAAGAAATAACATATGGTTTCCTCATCTCTAGTGTATTTTCGGTCCTCCCTACCAGTTTCTTCACTCTCCTTTAAACATGCTCAGTGTCTCCTTACACACACAGCGGCACACAAGAGACATGGAAACCTTCATTCTACCCTACACCTTGTCTGGCTGTTGTTTTCACCCTGACAGTCCTTACACACCTCATTTCCATTTAAACTTCCAGATGTGTGCATTTTAACTTCAGCATGATACTGAGCGGTTACTCTTAAAGGAGTTGCTAGTGATCTTGCCTTCATCCTACTCCATGAGTCTGTAGTGCTGGCCTCACCTTTATGCTTCAAATTCTCTTTCCCTTTACTTCCAAAGCACCAGTTTATTCTTTCCTCCCCATGCCCTAATTGTTAGTTCCAATCTAAGGCTATTGTTTTCCCTTTCTTCCCTTACTCTCTTAATGAGCTCATTAAGTATTACCTCTATGCTCATAAATGCCTAATCCACCACCACTATTTTGCTTTCCACATAAGCAACCATCACTGCAACCTAAGACACTGGGAAGTGAAGCGCATCTGGCCCCATCCCTACAGCAGGCAAGGAATAATCTCCTCTTCAAAGACTGCAATTCTGTGAAGAAGGATCCTGCTCTCCACTGTTAGTGGAGGCTGAACAGACTAACACTAGTTTAGGTTCTTCCATCTCTTCCAGGCTCTACCTTATGGTTACTTCTTTAAAATATCTCCCAGATCTGCCCTCCCTTTTCTATTTCCACTGGATTAGTACCCAGCCTGCCTTAACATACTGTTTTAAGATGAATCCACTCCCTAGTACACTGCTTCTCCAGCTTTAACCTGTTCCTAGAGTTTCCTAAAAACGACTTCTGCATCAAATTCAATTCTCGCTTTCATAGCTTTAAGTGAGCAGATTCCCACTGCACCTACCCAAACTTGTTTCCAACTTAGTGCTAGAATATGCCTTTTTTTTTTGGCGGTATGGGGTTTGAACTCAGGGTCTCACACTTGCTAGACAGGCGCTCTTACTGCTTGAGTCACTCTGCCAGCCCTTTTTTTGACAGGTTTTCTCAAGGTAAGGTCTCAGGAACTATTTGCCCAGAGCTGTCCTCAACCTCAATCCTCCTGATTTCTGCCTCCTGAGTAGCAAGGATTACAGGTGTGGAACACCAGAACCCAGCTTAGAATATGCCTTACTTAGGGATAGCCAAATGCAGTTCTTATTTTATGACTCAAAGAAATGGTGACATGACTGAGGTCACAGACATAGTAGCAGAGCAGAACTAAGTATCAGCTGGGTGGGCAAGTGCTAGCTCTACACTCTACTATCCTATGAAATCCCCTTCAGGCCATGTACCTCCATCTCCATGCCCTAAATGTGAATGACTCACTTATGCCTCCAGGTTTTGCTTCAGGTGCCACCCTCTACCTAGCTAAATCCCACCCAGCCTCAGGTTCAGTTTAGGCCCCTAGTTCTCTCCAAGACACCCACCACACCTCTCTTTTCTTTTCCACTGTGCTGCAATGAGAATCAGCACTGACTTCTAAAGTACTCAGTTTGACTAAGGCCCTGGCAGCTCCACAGAAGCCCGGGACAGGCTTTTACCCTACAGTGTCAGCAACACTTAGCAGCTCACAGGGACCACTTAATATATTCAAGTAACTGAAAGTAAGGAAGCAGTGTGGATGAGCAGAGGCACTACTTGTCTAAACTTGAAAGGCATTCCTTGTACCAGTAATCTCCAATATATCAGTTATAATTGTGTTTCTAGCCAATTACTGTTCATGTGGAATTAACAACCAAAATATACTTACTGTCATGAAATACTGTCAGAATTGTGTTGTCAGTGGTGTTCAAGAACACCTGTCTAAAAAGGTGTCCAATTTTTGCCCAATTTCAACCTGAAAGATAAATAATAGAGTAGAAATGTATAGCATATATAGTAAAATTAAAGAGGACATATAAGTTTATCTACTACACTTGGTCAACAGAGTATTAAAAATGGGCATCCAATAAATGTCTGTTGAAATCAAAGATTTATTTTTGGAGAAATTACAAAAAAGTTAATTCCATGAGGAAGGGGGAAGTTACTTTTCCAGCATAATCCCAAATTTGTTTTCATCATAAATATTCACGATACATCACGAGGAACTAAATTATTTGGTATGCAGAAGACTGAAATTTTCACATCTAAATTACTTGAAATGTTAACACCCAAGACACAAATACTTCACCTGTTAATTTTTTGAGGATTTTTTTAATGTTTCAGAGTGAAAAGTAGGAATTTAAAGCTCAAAAGGAGGAAATGGTATAATGCTTTTAAATTAAATATCAGATTATACTGGAAAGAAGATGCACGCTGCTCACCAAAACAAACAAAAAATACTCCGAAATCAAGAACCTCCCTTATTTCTAATTTTGAGGCACATTTTGGACTAAAATTGTACTCAATCTGATAAGGCACAAATAGATGAAAAAATGAGAATCAATTACAACATTATATCCTTCATGTCTTTTTCTTGTTAAGTTTTTTTGAGACTGGTTCTATGTAGCTCAAGCTGGCCTGGAAAGTGCCATCTTCCTGCCTCAGCCTCCCCAGGGCTGGGATTACCATCCTAGCACTACGCCAGGTCAATCTTCATTTCTCATCTGCTCTTGTCCTTTCTTCAAGTGAAATAATTAAATGGTGGGAGGGGGTGCCAAAACAAAAGCACATCTTTTCAGTGTTAATGTTAAAGGCAGAAGTACTGGTTTGCATTCAAGCATGAAATCTAGTAAACAGAAAAAAATGTAGTCACTGAATTGAATTTGAAATGTCAGGCAGCAAAGGCCTGACATTTGTTTGCTGTAATCTTAAAAGTAATTTCTAATTTTTTTCATCTAGTACCTTCTTTCTAGATCCAAAACTGCCCAGAAAACAACAACAAAAACTCCTTCCTTGTAGCTACAAGAATGTTTTTAGGGCAACTTTGAAGAAAAATCTGCAAATACAGATACTATATATATCTTGCTTAGAATGGGTGGGGGTGAAGCCACCATACCACACAACACTCACCTAAAAGTTGATAAAAGTCAGTGCATTAAAATAAAAACGCTAGCTCTTCCCAAGGTATACATTTTCTCAAGGGCAGTTATGCTGCATGTAATAGCTCCAGGGCATGCACACAACTGCTTAATGTTTGAAGAAATGTAAAATTGTATCCAAAAAAAGCAGTCGCAGTCGTCTCTTCTTCCAGCCTCTCCATTCTTTGGCTTCAACAACCAGTTTTGATACAATCCTTAAAATTAAGCTCCCAAAGCAGTGTAGACAAGGAATAACTAACTGCCTTTTAAGGAATTCTGGTGAAACTTTCAATACTTTACCAATAAAGTCCCTATCAATTAATACCACTGCTATTGATCCATATTCCTTATCACTGTAAGCTGCTTAACAGTTCGCACACTAGGAGAGCTGAAGTCACCCAGTGATTTGTCACACGCACCGCGGACCTGGGGAGTCCATGCGGATTAGTGGGATGCCATTTTTTTTGAAAGACGCCTGCTACCTAACCTTGTCTGGATCGTCTTGGTACAAGACTTGGGGCTCTGCAATTCTTTGTTCTCACACTCCTGTTCCTTAAGGCCCTGCAAATCCTCCCGCCTCCCACCACCGATGATTAAAACCTCAGTCCAACCCGAAGGGCTTCCTTCCCACCTTCGGGGCAAGTCCGGGGACCGCAAGCCGCCAGATGGCTGCATTCTTTACATGCAGACAGGGCTGCGGGGAAGCCAGCGCCACTCCTTCCTCCTCCCGGGGACCTCGCTGCCTCCCCACGCAGGTGCGGGGCGGCCCGGGCCCCGGTCAACCTGTCAGCCCGCGTGTCTGGACCGGACCGGAGCGGAGCGGCCGCCCCCAGCGCGCATCTCCGCAGCCCGGCCCCAAGCCCAACGCCCGCCGCAGGCACAGCCACCGCCGGGGCGCGGGAGACAAAGCTGCGGCCGAGGCCAGGCTGGCGTCCTCCGCCCGCGGTCGGCTCATGGCTCAAAATGGAGCCGGCCCGGGACGCCGCCGCGAGGGGCGCCGCCGGGGCCCGGCAGCCTCCCGGACCCGGCTCGCGGCGGCCGCGCCTGGCCCGCATCCCGCCGCCCCTGTGCCCGGCGCACAAAGAGCCGTGCCGAGGCCTCGCGCCGCTCCCCGGCCCGCAGCGAAGCGGCCTCGCCCGCCAGCCCGACCCGGCCCGGACGCGGCCCCACTCGGCCCGGCGGGAGGGAGGGCGGGCTGGCGACTGCGGGGAGGCGAGTGCCCCCGGCCGCGGTGGCGTTGGCGGCGGGGACGGCGCCGGGAGGAGACGGACATTTCATTCGAGCTAAAGTGGAGTCGGTTTAGGAACGATCATTGGCCGAAGCGAGACACAAACCTCCAATGCAGCCCTGGTTGGCTCCCGTCTCCAATCGGCTGTTTGGTTGGACAGAAAATGGCTGCGAAGGAACCAGTCCCAGCGCGGAGCTCCGCTTCCAGGATTCGGCCTCCCCTCCCTCCGCCGCAGGCCGCTTCCCTCGGCGTGACACCCTCCCTCCGCGTCGTCCGCGCGCCGAGGCCACGCCCCCAGGCCACGCCCAGAGCCCGCCCCTGGCCACGCCCCACGCCGTGGGCTTGGCCGCTGCGGGCAGCGGCGCGTTTGGCGCCCTGCGGAGGTCTACGTACGCTCTCGCACAGGGCTTCTCACGGCCCGTGCGGAGCGTGATCTCCACGGCCCGTGCGGAGCGTGATCCCGCACGCCTCCCTCTCGTGGGAGGGATTCCTTCTCCTTCCCACGTGGAAGCTGCTCAGCCACATGAGTCCAGCCCGCCTGCGTCTGGATTTTTAAGACAGGAACCAAGGACGGAAGGCGCTACCTAGGGCGACCCCCAAGCTACCGGGTGGGTGTGAAGGGCGGGTGCCTCCCGGGCTGTCTTGGGCACCTCGTGTTTTTCCTGTGTCCCCGGGAGCGTAGCCAGGTTCACAGCCTTCCCTGTCACTTAGTTTCTCAGGTGTCGTCAGGAGACACAACCCTCTTCCTCTTCGGGTTCACCAGGTTGATCAGTCCAGCTACCCTCCCCTCTTCCCTCCGCCCCGTAGTCCTGAACTTAACACTTTGCATCTCCTGCCCCGTCCCTCCCCCGTAAGTAACATGGTGGTTGCAACCTGGCATATGGCTCTTCCCATCCGGGTGACACCGGGCTGCAAGAATCCCTGGCCCGTCCTGGCCTCGGTGCAGCCAGGCTCCTTCCCTGCCTTTGCCTCACTGCAGTGGGGCCGAACGCCCCTAGGCTGCGACCCTCCCGGACGGGTGGTGACCTCGACGCCCCTCCTTGCCAGGAAAGCCCAATTTCTGCAGGCTTTACCCTCCCGACCGACCAAATGGCCTGGCGCCGCATTGAACTTTACAGCTTTAATCGTTTACAAATAAATAGAACTCCTACTGTGTTTATGTATGTATATAAGCATTTCTGTACCAAATAAGGAAGCAAGAACAAATGAAATCTCCCAAATGATTCCAAGGGAGTAAGAGCTGCTGCATTCCAGCCTCCCCTCTTTCAGGCCTTGACCTTGGCCAGACTTCTTCACCTCTTTGTAATGGGAATAATAATGGATAGAAGCTTCTAGGCTTGTTTGGAATTCACATACACATAAAAAGACTTAAAAAAAAAAAAGCTGACTTACCCTAAATTTCTTTTTTGTTTTGTTAGTTTTTATTTAGGAACTGGAGGTCTCACTATGTTGTCCAAGATGGTACTGAACTCTTGGGCTCAGTCAATCCTCCTGCCTCAGCCTCCCCTTAGCTGGGACTACAGACATGCACCACCACACCTGGCTTGTCAGATTTTCATGTGATGAGAATTTCAATCTCCATCAAACTTCGTTTAACCATTATTTGCTAAATAGGAGTAAGATGGGCCCGAGTTTAATTCCTCCCTTCTTTATGTTTCCTGATAGTGAAGTTTTTGGGGTGCAACAAGGTTCCCAAAGGTCAGAACTGCAAAATCCAAAATAACAGAATTGGGAATAGACCGATCCACACACTGAGGCTGCCCCTCAGTTTATGTCGCCGTTTGTGTGGGAATCGTAATTCAGTAAGCACTAAAACAGAATCCTTGGCACAATGAAGATGGCACAGTTGGGTTTTTCTTTATTCAAAATAAACACTGTCCCGTGAAGACAGTGTATTGTAGTACTGTATGGTCTCTGCTTTTAACTTCCTGACTCTACTTTTGCTCCTCTCAATCCTCTCTTGTGCACTGAGGCCTAGAAGGATCTGGTTTTGTTCTTTCTCCCACCCCGGCTTATGCCTTTCTCCCTGCCCCTACCTCACCACTCTAGACCCCCAGCCCTGACCCAACTACACACACACCCCAGGCACTCACCGCAAGATCTAAACGGCTCTGAGTTCTCCCCTCTTCAGAGAGGGACTTCTCTGACCGCTCCTAAACTAGCCCCACTTCTTAAAGGTTCCACCACTTCCCAATAAAGGATCAAGCCTTTAACATGTGGGACTTCGGGAGACACTTAAGTTCCAAATTATAGCAGGTAACCTTTGTCTCCCCTGTCTAATATCACTTCCTGTGTATCTCTCTCTCTCAAATACAAAAGAAACCTGATTCTCCAGAGAGTGAGATTGGAAGTGGGACTTCCGCAGGTGATGCATAAAATAACCAGAGCCCAGCTGATACCTTGATTGTAGGCTTTGGAAACCCTGAGCCAGAGCCTCTTTCCTATCCCACAAACACTGAAAGAATAAGTGTCTGTTGTTTTAAGCTATTGTTTGGGAGTAACAGGTTACCTAGTAATAAATAGTACAACCTAATGAACAATTTGAGACGGTTAAATATTGTATTCATAAAATAGAATATTATGTTACCACTGAAAAATGTTTTTAAAGAATTGTTTTGTTTCAGTCCTGGGAATTGAACCCAGAGTCATTCTTTGGAGGGCAGGGGCTAGGTTTGAACTCAGGGCTTTACACTTGCAAAGCAGGCACTCTACCACTTGAGCTACTCTTCCAGCCCATGGAATTTTTCTTTTTTCTTTTTTTTTTGAGGTAAGGTCTCACTGTGTAGCCCATATTGGTCTTGGACTCATGATCCTCTTGCCTCAACTTCCCCAGTGCTGGTATTACAGATAGGCACCATGATAATAGGCTGAAATTTATTTCTTGATGAGTGCTCCTGGTGGTTTCTTCTATGGTTGTTGTCAATTTGTTGTGTGCTGCTGTAACAAAATACCTGAAATGGGGTAATTTGTAATGAACAGAAATTTATTGGCTCATGGTTCTGCAGGCTGGGAAGTCCAAAATCAAGTGAACACCTGGTGCCTCTGGAGCATCTTGTAAGGACCTTTTTGCCATGTCATCCATGATAGAAGGGCAAAGAAAGCATGACAGACAGAGCAAGAGTGGACCAAACTCACTTTCAAACAAACTCTCAAGATAACTACATTATCTCATTCATGAGGGCAGATCCCCATGACCTAGTCACCTCTTCAAGGTCCTACCTCTCGTCACGTGGCATTAAGGATGAATTTCAACACCTGAACTTTGGGAGACACATTCAAACCAGATAGAAAGTACCAGATTGACTGGCAATACGTTTTAGGGGTAGAACATTTTGGAGACAAAAGGGAACAGTGAAAAGATATGGTTTATTGTTAGGTGGTTGGCATAGGTGATATGAGTGGAGGGTGGAATGAGCTCTGGAGTGAAATGCTTAGTTTAAAATCCTGGTGCTGGCAGGGCACCGGTGGCTCACACCTGTAATCCTAGCTACTCAGAAGGCAGAGATCAGGAGAATCGAGGTTCCAGCCAGCCCAGGCAAATAGTTCAGGAGACCCTATCTCAAAAAACCCTTCACAAAAAATAGGGTTGGAGGTGTGGTGCAAGGTGTAGGCCCTGAGTTCAAACTCCAGTACCACAAAAAAAAAAAGTTTAGAAGAGTGCCTGGCACATTGCAAACCAGCTAAAATGTTAGCTATTATTGTTGTTTTGTTTTTGCTGTTATTGTTACAATTATCCAGATGATGATGACTGAAAAAGATATTAAAACTAAGAATAACTGTGGAGTACAGCACTTAGGAAGTATAACAGTTCTTTATATTTCTCTGCTGCAGTGGAATCATGCCATCTATTAAAGATTACCTAGTTTAACCAGTTGTGGAAGTAACTTATTTGCTATGTGATAATTAACACTGTGGATAAGAGGGACCCAAGGGAAGGAATAAAAGAGCAATAAATTTTAATAAGGTCTCTAGGGAATGGCCTGACAAGGTAGGGGTGTTGAGGC